GCTGAGTCCACAGGGGCATTTGAGATATTGTACCTTATAATTTTAAGCCCTGATCCTGTAAAGGGATTCTGCTAGTGTCAGGGCAACACTGCACTAGGTTAAGAATTCGCCTGTGCATCTCCTTGTAGGACAGTGGGCATATCCCCTCTCCCCTTTCCAGAGGAGCAGGAGTGGATCCAGAGGGCTGCACTGATGCAATCACACCCCCTCAACAGTGTAGCTCATCTGATGAGCTGGTGGCTGCAGACATCTGGGTCCCCTGCAGAGTCTGAGGTGTGGTTGGAGTCCTGGGCTGATGGGGGGGATACTCAGGGGGACCAAGCAGGAAGCAGGTGAGGAAGAGGGGACCCAGCCACCACTGCTTCTGTCCCTATTTGATGGGGGATGGGGAAAGCCACAGGCTGCTTGTGCCCTGCTCCAGTTGGGGGCTGCAGGGAGTGGCTGCATGGGATTCTGGGCTCAGCAGCAGGGGGGTCACTGCTCCTTGTCCCCTCCCCCATGATACCCCCACACTGGCCTGGGGGGCTCCAGTGTTGGGGAGTGGCTACATGGGGTGCCGGGTTGAGCCAGGGAAGGTGGCAGTGGGGCTGGTCCCCACCATCCAGCTCCTGCTCTCAGCCAGTGAGGGACATCTCGGGGGATTGAGCAAGGAATGGGTGCTGGAAGGGGGGGGGACTGCCCACCACCACTGCTGCCCTGAGCTGAGCCTAGCACACTGCAGGTGCTCACCAAAGCCTCTGACTGGAGTAGGACACAAGCCACCCTGGCGCTCCCCTAGGCCTGGGTCACCCTGGAACAGCAGCAGCAGTGGGTGGGTCCCTACTTCCTACACCCAGATAAAATGGGAGGGGAGCGGAGGGGCCGCTGAGTGCTGGAGGTGATGAGGTGCCCAGAGTGGACTGGGAAGGCAGAAGGGAGTGGACTCCCCCACTCAGACCTACTTCAGGGACTCAAAGTCCTTGGCAGCTGCTGTTGCAATGCATTCTGACCACAGGGCTGTGTGCATGTGGATGACTGCAGCCAACCTTGCAGTCCTGTACCCTCCTTTCAAAATCCTAGGTCTGCTTCTGCATTGTAGTCCTGAGTCTTTCACTGCACTGATTGGTAGCTCCAGTCTTGCAATAAGGAATGCAGTAGTTTAAGTACAGACCTAGGACTCGCCTGCATTCACTCAAATGCCAGCCATTTTATCCACACAAAAAACCCCAGCTTTCCTGTTACAAAATATAACCCAGCACACAATGCCGTGGCAGTGGTCTTGAGCTGATTCAGATGTTGATGTCTGGGCTTGGAAGGATGGGGAAGTGGAGAAAAAAAATGAGATTCCTTGAGGATTTCTGAATAGTGCCAGATGGGACTAGTAACCAGATGGAGAGGCCGAAGCATAAAGGACACAACATCTGATTGAAACTGACATTCAGCAGAGGTGGAGGGCAGTCCGGGTGTTTGGAATATAAATCAATTCTAAATCTGCCAGAATCCATCTGTCTCGGGGTCAAAATCTGTAGCCTCTGACTGTCCTGATCCTGTTTCTGAGGAGAAGGGAAGGGGCAGGGTAGTTTTAATTGTATGTGCTTCTTGGCTGTGTTCCACCCAGGACACTTGATGGTTTAGAACAAGGTGTTTCCTCAGCTTAAGCCATCAGTAGGGATGTTTTTCAGAACAGTAACTGTAGTTACCCTTGAGAGCTGTAGGAGAGGACACAGATACAGTATCCATGACACTGCAGTCTCCTGCTGTGCAACCCCAGACAGGACTTGGTTCAGAACTGGGTTGTCAGACTGTTCTAACACAGGACAGCTATTCCCTATAAAAGTGTCCGGCAAAGTTCATCATCTTCACTGGGCTGTAGTGGAAAGCACTGCATCTTCCGAATTCTAGTTCAGTCTCTGATTCCTCCTTTGGGCTTAGGCAAGTCACTCCACTGACCTGCCTCAGTTCCCCCATCAGCCAATTGAAGGCAGTGTGCATCGCCTCACAAAAGCGCTCTTTACCTTCAGTGAATGATACTTTAACCCTGGAAGGGTTAAATTCCCTTGGCCACCTTCATTCCCTGCCTGCCTGCCAGACTTGAGCCCCATGTCTAATGCTATTGCCCTGTGCCCAATAAGCCCCTTTCTGCCATGCTTTGACCTGCTGCCTGGGGTGCTGCCTGCCTTCCAAGGACAGCCCTGGCTCTACACCAGCCAGAAGAATTTCTCCCTTGTTCTGCTGCATCCGTCTACTTTGGAGAGGGAGCTGGGCAGATTTTTCCTTTACTACTCAGCTCTTCATTTCCTGCTGTTTTTCGTACTGTATGGAAATAGCATTTCCCCTTCTGTGGCTAAGGGGGAGGCAAATCCCTAAGGGAAATTCCCATTTCTTTGCAAGGCATTTAGTTACAGCCACTAGCTATGACTTTAATGAGGTTTAATCATTTAGATTTAATCATGTTACATAGCTATATTAAATCCTCCCCCACTCTCAGTTTCCTTGGGATGGGCATTAAGAGCCCTGGAAAGTCCAGGGGGTGTATCCTTTATTGGTTAGAGCTGGGAAGGCTTCAAGTCGGGACTTGGAGGTTAGGTGTTATGTGTAAAGATTTCTGCTGCAAGAACTTTGGCTTCTTCAGATTCTGATTGTTGCCATAGACAGCAGTACCAGAACTCATCCCTTCTGGCATAAGGCTTATGCTTCTGTTTTGGTAGTTCTCTGCAATTGGCTTATTGTCACCCCTATAAATAATAATTCCATATCTGGAACATCCACAGTTTGCCAGTTTGTTACTGGACAGAGATCTCTGGAGTTACAGAAAATCAAAATTCCTTCGCTGCTGTCACAACCCAAATATTGCAGCCTTGTGCCTGAGACTAAAAATGAAACTGACCAGAAACTAAAGAGAAATAGACTCATCTATTTTGATTTTCAAAGCGAGTAAAACCAGGAATAGAATACATGTGGCATCATTCAGTAGTTATTCCAGAACCTATGTATTTTCACACACATGCGCAGGAATAGCTAAGCCCCTTAAAATTCATACCCACCAAACTTTCAAAGGTAGACAAGCCCTGAGTGAATAAAAACTTAAATTAGATTTTTTTAAATGAATGAGGTATTATTCAAACCCAGGTGAGAAAATGTGCTTAAGACATTTAAGCACTGAGTATGCTTTTAAAAAAATGTTTGTGAAGGGTTTTTAGACCTCATTAAAAATATGCTTTCAATTCATGCTGTTGAGTGCTTTACAGAGTGCATTTATTTGCAGTGAAGTAATAATTCAGAGTATTGAATAATAATGTCAAACACCTAAAGCAAGAGCTGGCAATACTGTAAATTCTGTAGAATAAATGCAAAGGCATCACAAAGACATTGTTCCTTGTTGATTAGTCCAGGTACTGCATCTCACTGAACAAGATTGGCTTTTATGATGATGGACCGGCCTCTGGCATGGCTGTGGTACTGAGATCCGGAGCCTGTCTCTGTTTTTCCTCATTTAGGGTGTTCCTGCAGGAATCTGAGCAGAAAAGCTGATAAGGAAAAGGGAGTGCCTGGGAGAACAGAGCTGGTACAGTACTATAGGGTCACTGGATCTGCTGTTCTCTGAGTCTTGGCTAAAAGCTGAATTAAGTAGAACTGTACTCTCCTGTTGGCAACTATGAAATGGAAACTGCTTGGCTCTTGCTGAAAGAAGATAATCACAAAGAACAATCCAAATAGTGGTTGGAATCAGGAGGGCTGCTTGCGATGAGATGAGATGGTGCTAATGAATTTAATGTCATGCACTTAAGGATGATAATGTGAAACCTATCTTCTTCTCCCTCCCACCCTTAATGTATTTATTCTTTCAAGCAAGGTTCTTTGGGTAAACGTGAAATCTTTTATTAGACCAAATAAATAGTTGGAAAAAATGTGCTTGATAAGCTTTCGGGCACAGACACCCTTATTCAGGCATAGGGAAAGTCTGTATTTATTTTTGCAACATCTTTGTGAGGGAGAGTGCTGCTATTTTCTAGGTGGGGAGCAGAGGCAGAGAGAAGGTCTTATCTGCACATCATTTTTGGTACTATAATCATGCTGATATAGTTAAATGGCAGAAACACCCTGGAGGGGAATCCTGCTCTTTTAAAAGGGTTTATGCTAATTTAGCGTAATATGATTCAGCAAAATAAAATCAACTCTGCTGTAAGGACTCTGCCTGCACCAAGGCCTTTGCTGGGTGTGAGAGAACCCACACCCTTAGCTGACAACGGGCGTGTCCAGACGAGCATTGCTGTGCAGTATGTGGCGCGGCAAACGCATCTGCAGCGCTGAGTACCTCACAGTCAGGCATTCTCCATGCTGCAAGAGCGCACTGCCTGTGTGTGCGCTGCTCCATTTTTCCCCTCCCCCCACAGGTTTTGTTTTTTTTTTTTTAACCCCTGGATATCCGGGGGTCAAAAGAACCTGCAGGAAAAAAAACAGAGCAATGCAGACACAGGCACAGGCAGCACTGTGAAAAGCAGAGCCTATCCACCTAGAGCCACACTGCGGCTGCCAGCCAGGTTCCACCCGGCAGAATCGCTGTGGCTGCAGCCCCAGGAGGCCTGCACCACCCCAGATAAGGCTGATGGGGCCAGCACAGCGCTGGCCGAGTATCTCCTACCACCGCCAGGGTAACTTGCCGCACACCAAAGCATGTGTGGCATGGGTGTTCCCTGGGGGCAATAGCTGCAGCTCACTGCTGTTTGTCTCTGGGGAACCAAATGTCTGCTCTCATCTGTATGCAGCCAATGAGGCTAAGAAAACTGGGAGAGTGTAGGCTGGGCCTAAAGGCCCAAGGTATTTAGGTGCTTAACTGCTGCTTAGTCAGCTCAACTCCCGAGTGAAATCATTGGAAAATAAAGTGCTTCTATACTTATTTGGGTCTGATTCAAATCACTTGCCCAAGGCCATGTATATAGAATAGCTGGCAGAACAGGGAATTGAACCCAGGATTTTGATCCCATTACCCAGCTGTGATTAGACCATCCTTTCTGATTTAGAACAGCTGAGTTGAAGGACAACGAGAAGAATACTAGTACTGGAGAATATGACCTCTGAGGAGAACTGCTCAGTGACCTGATTTATACGGTGAGAAGAAGGTATAAGCACCTCTGAGGGTAAACACAGAGATTCTGTGTTCACCCTATGTGTAGTAGAAAGAGCTGTGGGCTAATTGCAATGCGGAAAGAGTTCAGAAAAGACCTCAAAAGACCAGAGGATAGCATTTAGAACTGGAGAAGGGAGTGGGCTTGCAAAAGGTGTTTCAGATTACTATGGTTTGATCCTGGTCATAAAAAATTGTCGGATCTCCCATTAGCTCCATCAGTGCAGGTTATAACTCAGTTAGTAGCAAGAAGTGTGATTAACCTACCAAGAAAGTGGTAGTTACAGCTGAAGAGGTTTTTAAAACCGGGCCCATAAGTGGGAATATGCTCCCATCACTGCTGGAGTCAGACTGCATCACTGATTCAGTTCCTGCTTCTGACATTTCTCTTAACTGGAACGAGGAAAGAAAACTGGTCCATTTCACTTTGGTTTTTAGTTGGTTTCACTCCCATTCTCAGGCTATAGCAGGATGCTGCAGGGGGCAAGTTTGTTTTTCAGATAAAACTTTCCATCCAGATGGGAAAATATTTCCTGGGAATATTTTTATTGTTTTTGGGTTGTGTAAAATGCTAGGGTCATTGCACTTAAAAGAAGACACTTACATTTGTATCAGTCAGAGGCTGACAACATCCCTTTGTTTAAATTAACAATAATAATTAAAGAGCACTCCTGATTGGGAGAATAAAGCGGCATGCTCTCTCTGTTCAGTAACATGCTCAGCTCCTTTGCTGGAAGAGGCAGCATGCTGTCTCAACAGATTTCTCCTGAGACCTGATCTGACCCCTGCCAAAGGCTTCTGCAAGCTTTTCTGTCCATTTCGTTGGGAACAAAATAAAGTTCTGAGAGCTCAGAGCTTTCCTCTTTCCCCTGATGCTTTGACCCACTTCAGTAAGCTTGGTAACCTTTGACCATAGACTGCATTGTTAGCACATGATTGTCTATGTCAAACACCTAGCAGTATTTCCTCCCTGATCTCCATCACATCCTGGCTAAAAACTTGAAGACCCACAAAAAAATGATTGCAGTGTTATGTAATAACTGGGGGGGGCATGGCATTGCAATCAGGCAGCACATATATTCATGTATACATACACCATTTACACACGTTTCTGTTCCATGATGTCTTAAGCCTTTTAGATTGCCAACAGGTAAAAGCAAGTCCCTTTAGCTCAAATGGTAGGGACTTGTGTTTTATAAGCAGGTGAAGAGAAATTCTGTCTCCCTACGACCATGTATGCAACATCTAGATTACTGTGAATCCTAGATGCAAATCACTTGTTTCCAAATAACCATGTGCAAATGGCTGCTGTTATTCTGATGCTTCCCTCCTGCCCCAGTAGTGCTTTGGTTAAGACTCCCCTTTTTCCTCTCTCCGTGGTAGATGTTCCTGGAGAAGTATGGCTATTTTGAGGCGCCGGCTCCACGCATGCACAGCCCGGCTCAGTTCCGAGCAGCAGTGAGGTAAGAGCCTTCCTTCCAACAACAAAACCAAATGTAGAAATGTAGCAAACTGTGACACCCTCACCCAGCCCCCAGGTTCTGGGACTGGAAGGGCTTCAGCCCCTTGTAAGGGGTCTCTGAGTGGCTAAGGCCTTTAGCTGTGATCTTCCCCTTTGAACCAGACATGCAATCCCACCTAATCGTTTTTACAAAATGCAGCTGCCGTGCTCAGCTTCCAGCAGCAAATGGGCTGATCTAGTCCCTTCAGTGCAGTGTTTTACTACCCTGATTGTTTGCCTTTTATGGTCTGGTGTCCTAGTTAGAATACTATCTGCAGTTCAGGGCTGACTGGAATACGTCACGACTGCTGGGATGATATTCACACTAGAAAGGGTCTTCTTGTTTTTAGAGAATGCTTTTTGGCAGAGGAGGTCAGAGTGATTTACAAGGGAGATGGCAATCCTCTGTCTCTTACAAGTGGGGAAAGTGAGGCACAGAGCTGTCATGACTGGCCCAAGGTCACTCAGCAGGCCAGCAGTAGAGTTGGGAGTAGGACCCAGATGTCCCAAGTTCTAGTCTTGTGCACTATCCACTAGGTCACTCAATCCCTTCTGGCATATGATGGCATAGAGGGTAGGCTGCTGTTGATGTCTCCAGGGAGCTGTGTTCCTCTTGAGAGTTGAATAACTGGTCACTGCCAAGTCTGGGATTTCCCACCCCCAGCACACACTCATTCATCAGTTTCAGGTCATGCAGAGGATTTTCTCCTTCAGAGGGAATCTGGCTACGCAGCTTTTCCCCTCCCCATGTAGTCAGTACGTGAACATCAGGGAGAGATGAATTTAGCACTGGCAAACCCAGCACCTGTTAGCCTATGTCTACACTGGTGTAATGGCAGCTTTTGTTGACCCACCAAAGCAAGCTACATCCTCTCTAGTTTGGGTCCCCATGACAGTGAATCCTTTGGCAGCCTGGGGTCTAGCATGGGCTACGTGACTCACTCAGGAGCCTGGGGAAATACTTGGGCAGCCAGCTCAAGTGGAGTTTTACAGTACTATTAGCAGTGGAGCTAGCTGGATAAAAGCTCGCACTGATATGCCCACATGGACTGCAACTGCACCTGTGTATTATAATGTAGATCCAAACTAAGAGAAGGGTGAACCGTGTTCTCTGGGCTTCACTGCCCAGTGCAGTCAGTGAGAGTTTTGCCGTTGATTTCCATGGACATAAGAGTTGACCCTATAGGTGCAAAGTGCTGTCACATTTTCCATAAGGTACCACACAGCTGTTCTATGCCAGTGATTCTGCTTGTGAACCAGTGCCTGAGAGCTGGAAGACACCAAGTTCTGCTGTCACAATGCACAGCCATTTGTTTTCCTCTGCCTTTCAGCATGGAAAGGGGATGCAGCCCTTTGCACTGAGGCTGATGCTTCCCCTTCTTTTCCAGGGAGTTCCAGTGGGTGACTCACCTGCCAGTCAGCGGGGTCCTGGATGCTTCCACACTCCATCAGATGAGCCTGCCTCGTTGTGGGGTGAATGACGCTGAAAGCCACACTGCCTGGGCCGAGCGGGTGCATGCTGTGTTCTCCGGCAGAAGGGCCAAGGCAAGGCGCAGAAGGCGTTATGCACAGCAGAGTAGGTGTTCTCATTCTTTGCAAAGATATTTCCTTAGTGCAGGCTCTGAGCCAGTAAAACCTGGGCCCTTGCCCACCTACAGGTGGCTGAACTTTTACATACTGTGACTTGATTCACAGAGCTCCTATCACGCAGCTGAGATGCTGTCAGCCAGGCCAGGACTGCTGCATCTTCACTGCTGCTGGGACCTGAGTAAACTCCATTCCTTTTACTGAGACTAGGTGCACACCTGGCTGTGCCTACACTTGGTGTCTGATTGCAATGCCTTTGGGCACCTCAGTTCAAGCATCTTGCTGTTCAAGGTGTAGCTGTTACTGAAAGCTGTAGATTCTCTCTGCTTCTGAAAATTGGGATACTTTGGTTTTTGGTGCCTGGGGTGAAAATGTTGGCCTTTCCCTTTACAACAGTAACCTGCTGAGCATCCCCTAGTGTTCGCAGGGAGGGAGAAGGAAGCATCTGCTGCCAGCTTGTCCATTGAATCAACTTTTTCTGAGTGTCATCATGTACTTATTGCTGCAGGACCAAATTTGTCACTAAGGTTAGCAGAACTAACTCCGTTGAAGCCAATATTTACCCAGGGCTGAATCAGGCCCCCTGTCTTTTGTAAGCTGCCTTCCAATCCACACAGTAGCAAATTCTCCCTAGAGAGAACGGCTTGGGAGCAGCTGTGCTTGAGACATGGGAAAAGTTAATGAGATGAGGTAAGTGCTCTGTGCAGGCTCAAGCTGCCAGCGACAAGTCTGCAGCTGTTCTAGCTGCCGAGGCAAAGGCAGATGGGCTGGGTTTCAACCCTGGGAACAGGTTGGTTACTCTCCCTCACCGTGGGATTGTTGCACATGCCTAGTTTCCCAAAAACAGAATATGAATCTTAGCATCTTACATACAGGCTGTATCTTGGAAGGGATCTACAGACATAAGGCGTGGGGGAGGGGGAGGAGGGGGGCTCATGGTACGTAGGAAAGGGAGCTTTGCAGAAGCAGTGTGTGATGAGATGGAGAGAAGACAGGGCAATTATTTACCATATAGACTAAATCAGGGATGCATAAGATTTCATAAGCAGTGGCTGCTGTGGGGGATTCTTATGCATCTCTAATTTGATTAGTCTATAAAGGGCAAATCTACCCTGCTTTGTACCTGACTTAAGACTGATGCAACTAATGTCCTCGCTGAGACAGAGAGGTTGGAGGAGGATGACTGCAGAGGAGATGGCTATTGTGCCAGCAGTGGAGAAACTGTGCGCTAGGGGAGTTCCTAATGGAGAAAGATCAGGAAGAGCCATAGCTAGAGATGGGCAGGAGCAGATCTATGGAGGAGATGGGTAACTTGGGGCTGGATCCTGAACTAACTGGAGAGACACTGGGCTGCACTGGGAAAGGTGCTTAGGCCCTGCTGCTTTGAATGCATCAGGAAGGGAACAGCAGTGTTCTGCCCAAGGCCAGAGCTCAGACCAAGAATCCCTGCTGTACATGAGGCATCACGGACCTCAGACCACTGCTTTCACCCCAGATTACTGTGCCACCCTCTCAGTTCTCCTTGCCTCCCCACCTCTGTTTTCCATGGGCTGTGTTGCTGCTGAAGCCCCTGCAGTAAATGTGCAGGACACAACCTTGGCACCATACCACATGATGGAGCAGCCTCCCAGTTAGTGTGGGCATCCCAGGGAAAGACATAGCAGCTGCTGCTTCTTTGCTGCACCTGTTTCCTTGGAAAAATGAACAGAACGTGTGAAATATCCAGCCTGGCAGGACTTGCACTCAGACAGTTCATCTCATGCAATAGTCCTTGCACTGCTGGTCTCATAGGAGAATGTCCCCTGCCCTGAGAAGTCCTGCCTGGGGCTGCCCAGTCTTGCCCTAACCCAGCCCCATTTCTATGGACATGCTCCCCTATGACCTAGCTGCTACCACCTGCAGTGGCTACCCATACCTGCCTGAATTGAACCATGTCTGGCTTTAATCCTTATGTCCAGGGCTCTTAAGTCATGGCTGACAGTCTTTAAACAACCAGCTGCTTAATAATGATAGCTGTGGGCCATAAAAGAATGATAGATCCTTGATAGAGCTGGCAGTTGCAAGCAAAGATCCTTCCTGCCACCAGCACCTACTCTCTGGGATTTCTGATATTTAAGATAGGATCCAGGGGCTGAGGCAGCTCCTCCCCCTCTTTTCCTCCCACCACTCAAAACACCATCTGTCTGATTTTCTGGAATAGGGTCTGTCTATTTCTAACACTTGGGGTCTGTCTATCTCTAACACTTGGGGATCTAAGCAGGGTTCCTACAAGCTTTTTTTCCCCCAGACAAATCAGGGTTTCTTATACCTGACAACTGCAGCACCTGCAGATCACTCCATTAAGTCATGTGAGTAGAGGAATATCTGTGCTGGCTGCTCTGTACAGCCTTGTGGGTGGGTTGTGGGTTTGCAAAAAAAACATTGCTCTCACCCTTCTTGGGGAAACATCACAGCAACTGCTATGTCTTCCCCTGGGATGCCCACACTAACGGGGAGGCTGATCCATCGTGTGGTATGGTGCCAAGATGTCACTAGAGAGTAGGTGGGTATAGGAGAACCTGGATAGATTAGTGAAGAGCCATAGAGAAGGGATCCTCCTGGACTTCAGGGAAGTACTGGAGAGCTAGATAACCAAGAGGACAGATTTATGGCCCTGCTGTGAGATGCTGGAGAAGAGACCCAATGATTAAACCTGGAGTCTGGAGTCTTGGGATGGAAAATGGCATGTTGCATCTTACAGAGCCACACAGGATGTTTCTTTGATCACATATGCATACATACAGCAAGTCCATCACCTGTCACAAACATGCAGCTGATTCTGGGATAGAAGGTAGCTGCCTCAGATTACACAAAATGCAAGGAAAGAGGAAGCATTGGCAGAAATCTTTGGCAATGTTCTGAGTTCACAGAGATCTTGTCTGTCAGATCCATGGGAGTCCAGGTGTACCTCTATATTATGGTGATGAGCAGCACAGCAGAACCTGCCAAGCCTTGGAGATTTTGCACTTGAAGCTTTGATGTTTCCTGTGGGTACAGACAGGGAATGAGAATGTGGAGAGGGAACCCCTGAGGCTAGTAGGCAAGTACAGAGGGTGCAAGAGGAGTGAGCTGAATGACAGGAAAGACCTGGCTCTGTGGTGCAGAGGGGAAGTTCCTTGAAATACTCATGATTAGACAAATGGAACTTGAGGTGAACAGTGCAGGGTGCAGTGTCTGCTCTGGGTTGGATCTCATGTCCTCCATCCCCCAGGCCTTTGCACACAGTGCCCTTGTGTCCCAGTTCACACCATAATCTAGTTATGTGCATCTGCTCATAAAGCTGACACAGATGGTGGTTGGGCCGATTACCCAGGGCCTACTGGTGTGAGCAGTCCCATGGAACTGAGTGGACAGCTGGGTCCTGCAGGCTCTAGGGAGTGGCTGGCAGGATAGTAGTGAGCTGAGCAAGTGCTGGTCTCAGTGAGGATCCTGGAGTGCAGAGCCTGATCCTCCCTCCTGCTGGGCACCACCTGGACTTCACTG